CCAAGTTTTAAACTTTCATCAAAAGCTCCAGCAGAACCAATTCTAATAATTCTCTTTACTCCATAGAAATTAAATAATTCATATGCATAAATTCCAATAGATGGCATACCCATACCATGAGCTTGAACTGATAACTTCACTCCCTTGTAATATCCAGTATATCCTACTGCTCCTCTAACACTATTATATTGAACAACATCAGTCAAATAAGTGTCTGCAAGAAGTTTTACTCTTAATGGATCACCAGCCATAAGGACAGTTTCAGCAATCTCTCCGTATTTAGCACCATTATGTGGAGTTGGACAATGTTCAGCCATGGTAATGAATAAACTTTTTTAAGTAAAAAGACCCTTTTATTCTCAATTGGAATATCAAAGAACCAAACAGAATTTAGGCGACAATTCTTATTAATCCCCATTCATCGGGAAATTAGGATTTAATATTTTTAAGTAGAAAAAGAGTATATTCGATCGAATGGATGTAGAAGAGTGAAGTTCTGATTAGAATAATCTCTTTCTTACTTATTGAAAGAATGAAGAAGTGTTATTAAAATTATGTTATTTAATAAAAGTAAATATTTGATTATTTATAAAATTTCCACAATTTTATTTTCATCCACTAATTTTTCATTAGAAGAAATTTAAATTAATTAATTATCCCAACGTTCTGTTGGGCTCTGGTAAAGTGATGAATTGAGGCATTTGTCTGATTTCTTTGAAGACAAATATACATCTTCCTGATTACTTTTTTTAAAAAGAAGAAAAATAATTAAACTTATTGATGAATCAATTACTTTTATAAGTTCCATTTTCCATTATTGTTACATTTTTTGGTATCATTGACAAAGGTACTTCTACTGTGCCATCATCTCTTAAAACGCTTGTCTTCATCCAAACTTCTTTTCCCCATAGTGTTCTCATATATTGATTTCCACCTCTAATCTTCCATTTTACAGCATCTTCATGACAAATAAATGAAATAGTACAACACCTATGTTCTAAAATAATTTCTATTGAATTTACTTTAGCATGTTCAATATAATTTAATACATCTCCTTGGGTTTGCCAAGTAAGTGGAATGTCACAAAAGACTATCACATTGGTTTTGACTAGAATTAAATAAGAGATTCAAGCTTAATAAAAAATGAGATAATTTACAAACTTAGTTTTATTGTTTCTTTTAATGTTTGATTTAATTTAGGTTGGGTAGTATTATTAATTAGGTTATTACTATATGTATTAATTTTTTGTATTGCGGTTTGACTATTTAGTGGTTGGTTATGTGGTTTTAGTCTTATCGAATCTCCGTTAGTGGGTGTAGATGAAACAACTGTCAGAGATAATTTTTTTCTTTTTTTTAAAATAAGTTCAGCTTGCTCTTTATCAGTTATTCTCTCAAAACGATGAACCTCTTGGTCTTCTTTTGGATTAAATTTATTACTTCTGTCATTTCCTACAATTTTGTTTCTTTTATTCGTTGATGAGTTTAGAGTTATATCATTAGAAGGTATTGTAATATAATTCTGTGAGCTATTTAAATAATTGTTTCTTCTGGAAAAACTGTATTGACTTCTATTTCTATTAGAGTGTCTTGATGTACTTCTAGGTGGTGAATACTTTCTTTTATTTCTTGAACAAAAAGGTGTTGAGTCTCTTCCTCGTTGTTGTGGTAAGTGGGATGGGGAGTATTGTGGAGAAAGCCTTCTTGAAGAATCCCTACTTTGAGTATGATAAATTCGTCTTGGTGAAAACCTTCTCTTTGGACTGTTTGAGTAAGACCTTTGAAAGTTACAAGAGTCTTGACTATCATAGGAACAACTCCTTGAACTACTTCTACCATGTCTTATTTTGATTTGTTTTTGTTGTTCAGACAGTTGTTTATGTTCAAATAGTGTTTCTGTTGAATAATTTAATTGAATCTGTGGTATATTATTATTTTCTTCATCCAGAATTGATTTATTTTCTTTTTGTTGTAAAGGATGCATTGTAGAATAAAAGAAAGACTCAAGTTCTTCACATAAACTAATATCAAATGTGTGATTGGTTTTCCATTTAGAAATGATTAAAAGGACAGACTTTTTTTGTTCATCACGACAAAGTGCAACTAGTGTCAATATTTCTATTAGTCTAAACGAAAAATTGAATCTAAAAAAATCAGTCAGAACAGGATTTTTTGAAAGGGTAATATCACATAACGAATCTATAATATGAACTACAACTGTTCTGTATGAAGGCCAAACAGCTCGGGTATATTCTTCAATTCTAAAGATTACACGTAATGGCTAATTAAAATTAATCAATAACTTAAAAACTATTAAATAAACATAATAACAAACATTTTTGAAAGAAAAGCATAAATTAATTATTTCGTTAATACTTTTAGATGGGACTTTTGGAAATAATTCTTTAATTTCTTGTAATTTGTTGATGAGAGCTTGTTCTGATTCTTCCATATTACTTTTTTCAGTGAATTTCTCAAAACGGCGTAAAAGAAACGAATCGCCTTATTTTCATTATTTTTAGTGATTTTCAGAAATTAGTTAAGATATTCACAATTTAAGTCAAACTCTTCCTTTATTCTTTTCAACCCTATTCAAGTTTGAGGCATAACTTAACTTAAAATTATTAATGATCTCTTTCAATGCTATTATGAAAAGTACTCCAATAACGTTAACTATCCTTGGAAATGGAGAAAGTGAAATTGGCTCTTCTTTTATATTAGCCTTAGAAAAAAATAGGTACATTTTTAATATTCCTGAAGGTGTCCAACGATGTTGTATGGAATATAAATTAAAATTACCGAGAATGACTAAAATTCTTTTTACTTCAAGTGATTGGAGTTGTTGGGGAGGTTATCCAGGTGCTTTGATGACATACTATTCAACTGAACTTGTTCAATCACCACTACACTTTCCATCTGATCTTTTTGAGCAAATGGATTGTTCTCATTTTTTACCTCCAACTTCATTGATATACAAAGACATTCCAGGATTTACATCTGACTCTACACCATTTACTGATGATTACCTTTCATTTATTCCAATTGTGACTGAATGTAATTCTATTAAAACAATAAATTACCATATTTTGTTACCAACATTTTTTGGTAAGTTTGATGGAGTAAAAGCAAATGAATTAAAAATCCCAGGACCATTACGAGCTAAGTTAGCAATAGGAGAATCTATCAAATTAGGAAATGGTAATGTAGTTAATCCTTCAGATGTCTGTGGACAACCATCATCACCTGGGTATTTAATTGTTCTTCATTTTCCAACAACTGATCATGTTAATGAATATTTAAAAAAGGAATTAGTGAATAAAGTGTGTTGTATAGTTGCTATTATCAATGATGCTGTAAAAGATTATCAGCCATTTAAAGACTTTATTGCAAAACATTCAACATCTTTAGTTCTGTTCTTAAAAGATAGAATTTCTTCTTCAGCCAATGAAATAATCAAGAATGTACAATATACTTCTTTTAGAATGACGAGTGAGTTACATAAATCAATAAGTTCAATTCTTCCACAAAATGCTCCATCTTTTATTCGAGCAAAAACAGTTCCACTTATTATGCCAACTAATAATTGTAAATACTTTGAGGACACTCCTTCATTAATACAATACACAATATATCCTAAAATTAAATATACACTAATCAAAAGAGAACAAACCTTTATTATTCCTCAAAACCAACCACTTTATTCTCCTTTAGGAAATAAGTTCCAAGTAATATTATTTGGAACTGGTGGTGCTGTTCCTGGAAAAGCAAGAAATGTTTCAGGAGAAATAATACGGTTTAATAAAACAACTATAATGATTGATTGTGGAGAATGTATTGCATATCAAGTTGTCAATTCTGGAATTCATCCAGACGATATTAATATATTATATGTAACACATAATCATGGAGATCATATTTTTGGAATTATGTCATTACTAAAGATGAGAACAAAACCACTTACTATTATTGGTCCACGGTCAATGGAAAAAGGATTTAATTTATTATGTCAACACTATCATATAAAAATCAATTTTATTAATAACAATATATTTTCTGATGATTGTGTCGATAGAAATAAAGAATCAATTATTCAAAATATAGAAACTAAAATCGGTGCACGTATTATTACTGTGAAATTAAATCATCAAGCTGAAAATTATGGAATAAGATTTGAAATTAATGGAACTTCAGTTGTCTTTACTGGAGATACATTACCTTGTTTAAATGATAAAAAGTTATGCATGAATGCAGACTATGTTATTCATGAATGTAATTTTGAAGATGGAATGGAAGGGGAAGCAATTAATAGAACACATTCAACTCCTTCTCAAATAGAAGCAATGTTAAAAGACTGCAATAATAAGGTTATTATATTGAATCATATTGGACAAAGAACTTCTAAATTTGCTGATATCATGAAAAAAGAATATTTAATACCAATGATTTATTCATTTGATGGAATGGTATTTGATGACACATTATCAACAAACTGGAAACAATATAAAGAGTATTTACTTTCTTTCTTCTCATTAAATGAAATAGATGAAGAAAATGATTAAAACTATTATACTATCTCATTGTCACATAATTATTAATTTAATTTTATTATTTAAACTTAATAACTAATATACTAATAAAACATTTTTAATATTTATGTTATGTATAACTTTCTTTTTTATATTTTTTCTACAAAAATATAAAAATGTTTTTCACTAATTACTTTAAAGAACAATTACAAATTACATAACTAATCAATTGAATTTTAACGAAAACAACTGTCAACTACTTTAAGTAATGGTATATTCACAAAACGTACACCACGTTGTTGTTTTATAACATACAAATAAATAGTAGTGTTATAAAATAATATCAGGAGTATCTTCTTCTAAAATGAAGAATCACATTTTGTTTTCTATTTTATAAAACAAAAAATGCCAACTAAAAATGATGTGTTTACCAAACAAAGACCAACACATCTTTACGTGGCATAAAGAAATAAAAGCAACTACAAATTTGAAGATCAGTACTAAAATGAGTGAGTGGAATAAGATCAGTGGAAATTGGAGTTTTGAAGAACGAGACTTTTCAAAATGGGGAAAAGACAGAATGAAAGAAATTATTCAAGATCCTAAAACTCCAAAGACATGCAATTATGATGGTACATTTAAAGTGACTAAAATTGAAGGAGATGTTTGTTTTTTTTCAATAAACAATAGTTATTATAACATTTTTTTGATTATTTTAAGAGGTTATGAGAGTCATAACCCTAAAATTATATTTAGAATTTAACAACTCATCAAATAATAGGTATTTATTCTTGTTTCACATGGTCAATTAAAAAATATTGTTACTTTTGATGAATTAAAAGTTGTTTTCGCTTCAACCACTGAAGGTCACTCCTCTGGTACTGCTATTGTTGAGGTTGATAATGGTTTTGATTATAGATTTAATTATAAAACAAAGGCTAATGATAATAAAACATTTGAGGCTGCTTTTAAAAAGATGATAGAAGATAATGTTGTTCTATTAAAAGAAGAATTAAAAGAAAAGTTGGTAGCATCAGCTCAATGATTGGTTTCATTATTATTTGAATAATTTTTAGTAGTTTTTTGGATATTATTTTTCTTAAATAAAAAAGAAAGTTGATAAAAGCAAAAGAAGAAATGAATGTAAATAAATAATCAATGAATAGAAATATGAAATAATCAATAAAAATGAATAAATCATAAAAAACATACATTTATACAGAAAATATAAATAAAATCAATTAATTAAGTATTAATAGAAATAGCTTCTATTCTTCCTGGCTCAGGGGAGACTAATCCCGTCCCTTCGTCTTCTTCTTGTAGCTCTACTGAGTATGTTTGATTGTGATCTCCGCAGTATTCCATGACATCCATCATGTTTTTAATTACAAGGTTTTTAATTTCTTTAACAATGTCAATGTCAATTTTTAATTCTTTAATTAATCTAATACTTTCTTTATTTATTAATCCATTGATTGAGATTATTACTGGTATTATTTTGACATCTTTTATTTTTTTCTATTTTCATTAACCTATTCTTTAATTCTTTATACTTATTTCTTTTCTTCAAAGACACTCAATTAATATTGTGATCAGCCACAATAGTCATATCAAATAATAGACCAGTTTTATTCTTTTTATCTACTACGTATATGTCTGGTATTTTGTGATATTGTCATTCACTTTTATGCATTATTTGTTTGTTCAATATCATTGTGATGTCTTTATATTTGAACACTGTTTCATATTGGGGTTTTATATTGTTTATTTCCAGTGTATTTTCTTATTAATCAATATTATAATACCAATATTGTCATATTTTTCTATTTGTGATTTTTTATGACTAATACAAGATAGTAGAATGTGTTGTACTGTAGCTATCTTGTCTTTACAAAGTGTTGAGTATTTCAATCTTTCATTTTTCATTATTTTTGCTTTCTTATACCCACAAAATATTGCTCAATCTTGCATTTTAGTTAATTGAAGAAATGCATTTTTCTTAATATTGATTGACTTCCATGCTTTCACTGTAGTAGTTTTATCTACTCATTTTGACTCAAACCATCTTCTGAAGTGTCCGCTTATTTGATGGCACTTCAATTTTTTGATGTATTTATCATTAATTTCTTTATTTCTACTACTTCTTTTTCTTTTTTCTTTTCTATAAATTCATTTATTATTTCTTCTATTTTTGTTTCATTTATTTTATGAATTATTGTTTTTTAATTCTATTCCATATTCTATTCTTACTGTACCATTTATCTAATATGTTATTTCCAATTTCACTTTCTCTGGTACAATAGTACATCACTGTTCTAATTATTTCATTAACATATTCTTCATTTATATTTATTAATCATTCATTTCTTCTATAATAACATACAACCGATCTTTGGAGTTTCACCAATGTATTTTGCCTTTCTTAAATATTTTCTTATCTCCAAATCTATTTTATCTAGGTCAGTGACATTCCAATTTACAACTGATGCTGAGAAATGAATATCATACGAACAAATATAAATAAAAAAAAAACTTATTTTTAAAAAATAAGAATAATCAAAAAATGATAATTTTTAATTATAAAAATATTTATTAAATTTTTTACAAATAAAATAAATACAATTAACAGAATAGTAATAATTAACAACAAATACAAAATAACAATAACTAATTACCATTTCTTATGAAGTTCTGTCAAAATAAAAAGGTGCGTCATTCAAAACAAACCCAAAGAATATTATAGTTGACTTAAATGCATTTAGTGAAAAGAAACACATAACTCGCTTTATTTCACATTCATCAAACGTTATAAAATCGAATGAAATTGTGTTATCCAGTAATATTAATATAATTCTTAATATGAATTTAAAAAATATTCTATTTTATTAAAGAACAAAAGATAATAATGAAGAAATAATTTATGTTTGATAGTTGATGAATAAACTAGTAATAAATTATGTTGTACTTATTATAATGAGTCAAGTTATGTCTGTTATTTGATTACATTGCTCGTTGTTTAGAGATGATAAATAATAAACATAAAAGTATGCATCAATAATCAATTAGACTATGATGAGTTAATAACATGGATTGTTATAACCAATGTCTTTTGTATGACATGTTGTTCCATTAGGACATTTCATTTCATAGCCAACACTGTTAACACACCAATAATATTCAGTATTTTTTGACTCTTCTTCATAGCAATAATATCCTTCTTTCACTTCAGTACAATTGACTGGATATTTATTTGGTGTAGGAGTTGGTAATGGGTCAACCTCCCAGTGTGACTCATTAAGTGCAACACAAATCTTGTCTTTGGTTATTTCAAACTCACCTCTACCAGTACAAACATCTTCATTTGGACAAGTTCTAACACATCCCATTTGAACTCCTTTGTTACAAAGATAATAATTCTTCTTCTTATCATTGTCTGTGTAGCAGAAATATCCATGTCTTCCTTTACATTCACCATCTACCAATTCAAGTGATGAAACTAAATACATACATAATATAACAAGTAATGCTTTCATTATTTTATTGATGTTATTTGGTAGATCACTCGATGTTTATATAATCTGATTATCACTTTCTTCATCTTCTTTTCAGTTTTCACTATGCTGATTTGATTAGTAATGTTATTCAGAAGATATTATTACTGATATTTAGTTATAAAGGTATGACGTATTTGTGAAAGTAATAAAACTCTTCCTTATTATATCAGGTACATCCTTTGATAAAGAGACACCAACTTTACAATAAGAATTGAATTAAATATGTCTCAGACAGCATTAACCAATGGAGAAACAACGAATTGTTCGAGTTTCTTTAAATCTTTAGATTGGTCAATCAATGATTTGTAAAACTGAGAACCAATATTCTCCATAGCATTTTTATCATACAAAAAGTTGTTTATAGTGACTGCTTGAATTTTTGGGAAAGCAGGAAGGTGGATATTTCCACATTGAGTTTCTATTTCACAAGTCTTTTTTGACATTCCAAAAATGAAAGAAGTATTTGGGAATTGGTCAATAGTTTGAGTCATAAAATTAGCACAAACGACTCTACTGTATTTTGATTTTATTTTGGTACAAGAAAAATATTGAGACGTTTCAATTTTTTAAAAGCAAATAAATGATTTAAGTAAATTATCTAGAAGAATAAAGAAATAGATAAATTCCCAGAATTTTATACTCTAGTAATAAGTCAATAAGAAAAAAAAAATAAATAAAACAAAACTAAATGTTTTTAACTTGAAAATGAGAAAAATAAAACAAACAAAAGATGACAACAATACAAACACAACAAACACCAACAAACCAAAGTCCACCTCTTCAAAAAAAGAGCAAAGAAGGGACAAGTTCTTTAGAAAATTCAAAGGATGATGATAATAGTGAACATACAGAAGAAGATAGTTTCGTTTCAAGTCAAACTGAAAGTTATTCAAGTCAGTCTTCTTATTCAAGTCAATCAAGTCAAAACTCTGAAACGTCAAATGATTCTATGGAACAAATGCAAGAAATAGTTGATGCAATGCAAGTACAAATTCGACAATATAAACAATTATTAGAAACAACACAAAGTCAAATGGAAAAACAAATTATTACACTTCAAATGGATAATAAAGAATTAAAAAATAGGATAAAAGAAAAAGATGGGAAATTAATTAAAGCAGCAGATGCAATTAAAACTATGGTTAATGACATGAAAGACTTAGGAGAAGAAAAAAGAAAACTTGCAGAAGAAAGTGTTAAAGATAAAGAAGATCTAGCATCTTTATATAAACGATTAGGACAATTAGAAAATAGTACTGGTAAAATAAGTCTAAATGAACTTGAAGTATCAATAGTTTTTAAATTAGAAAAAAATCAAGTTGTTTCAGCCGAAGTTATTAAAAAGAATGTTGACCAACAAAAACAAGATTTAAAACTTCAAATTGAAGTTCTTGAAAAGAATTTAATGACAAGTAAAAGTGATTTATATTCATTAAAATCAATAAATGAAGATCTTAATAAACAAATTAAATCAACAGAAAATATTAAAAAAGAAGTTATTGAATTACGTAAAGAAAAATTAACTTTACAACGAAAGGTTGATGAATTAAATACAATTATCTCTAACTTAAAACATTCAAAAAAGAATAGTATTAGTATTAAAGGAGAATCTAATGAATCAAACTCTTTTAAAGAAGATGCTATTGATATTATTAGTAGAATAACTACTTTTAAACCACAAGGAATGTTTGACCAAACAACCTACGAAGAATTTGCTTTGTTACAAGAACAAAATGCATTTAACCCATATATGTTTACTCATGTACAAGCACAATGTACTGCTAAATTAAAAAATACATTTAACTCATTTATTAAAACATCACAAATACCTTCAATTCAAGCAATTAAGGATTATAGTGAAATATATAGTAATGTTTCAAATAAATGTTTCTTTGCTACATACCTTAAACGAGAAGCTCCTCATTTAAAAGTTTATCATGATGTACTTATTGAAATAACTCAATTTAATGCAAAATACTGTAAAGTTAAACCAACAACAACATTAAAGAAAAGTATTAATAAATTAAGTTTTGTTTCAAGTTCTAATACATCAGCTGCAACAAATGTAATGAATAACCAATGGCTAAGAAGAAGAAGAGCAACAGCCGTAAGTGTAATACCAAAATATCAAGACTATTCTTTATTAGCCAAACAATTATCTCAACCAACATTTGAAGAAGATACAAAAAAAGGAATTAATATAAAAGAAGAAAATAACTTATATAGATTACTTTGTTGGACAGGAAAAGATATTTGGGCATGTACTAAGCCAACTAATAATAAAAGTATTATTCATGTATTTAATAATATTAATGAAAAACCAATACAAAGTCTTGAAATAGAAGGAAATATTTGTGCTATTATTTATTGTAATGGAAAAGTATATATTGGTAAAACAAACAGTGTTATTGAATGTTATAATAGTAATGACGGTACTAAGAAAAATGAATATCATTTAGAAAGTGAAGGCGCTATAACTCATTTAGAAAGTGTAGGAAGAAAAGTTATTGGATTTACAGAAGACAAAAACTATGTTGAAATAGATATTAAACATGATAAAAAGAAAGAAAAAAAATTACAATTACAAAGTGATATTCGAACAGCAGCATTAGTTGATGATTCTTTATGGATTGGTACATTTGCAGGATTACATATATATGATCCAGATAAGAAAAGAAAAACAAGTATAGTAAAAGGAATTTCAAAGAATGAAATTATTCAAGTAATAAGAGCATATGACTCAGTATGGGTTGTTATGAAAGATAATATTTATATTGTTGATATTCAATCACAAAATGTTAAAAAAGTTATTTCTGCTCCAATCGAAAAAATAAAACTTATTGGAAATCAAGTCTGGATATTACAAAAAACAGGAGACATTAAAATTTATGATAGTGAAAAACTAGAACTTGTTACTGAACATCATATCACTACAAAACCTTTAATTGACATAATTCCTGTCTTTAAAACTATAAATGAATCATCAACCTCTGAGAAAAAAGAATGGGTTTGTATTATTTGTGATGAAGATGGTAAGTTTAGTAGTGTAGGAACAAAATACCCATATCATAATTGGACTGCAATTCTTTCAACAGAAACTAATACTCACACTTGTTATAAATGTAATAAAAAATTTAATAAAGGTGGTATTTACTGTAAAAATTGTGGAAGAGTTTTTATATGTGATAAATGTAGAGAAGATATTGATTTTATATCTTCATTAACTTCGACAGAACTTTGTATTCATTACCCAATGAAAAAACCTTTAACTAAACCTTCATTAGAGAAGAAATTATAATATAAATCTTCTCTGTTCATTTTTCTAATTTCGTTCAAATAATTTATCAAACAAATACTTAATAAATAACTCAATTAACTATTATTTATTTTTCTTTTTATTATTATTAATTAATTTAAAAACTATTTAATAAACTATTTCATTAAATATCATTATTTGATTATTTATTTTATTAATTATTCTTATAATGTTATATTCTTTAATTCTAATTAATTTTTACTAATAAACTAATTAAATAATTATTCTATTTTCCTTAAAACTCTTCACTCAGTTTGTTTAATTAGATAACATACAAAATTTAAATAATATTTTTGTATTTTAATTAGTTTTAGCACTTATTTTGTTCATAGTCATTATTTTTTGTAGTATCAAATAATACGTTTATTGATTCTTTATTTTTATAAATTGACTTTGGCATATATCAGTCTTTGAAGAATTTCTGTTGTGTAATAAAATTAACAACCAACAAGTAGAAAAAATACCAAATTATTTGACAATTTTGTTGTATTTTAAAAATAAATTTATTGTTTTATTGACATATTTTCTAATATTTTATATTTGATTATAAATTAAAATTATATTGAGTTTTATATTTGTTTCTTTTAATAATATTGCTAAAAAAATTATTAAACCATTTAGTTTTTTTTTATAATTCAAAATATTTGGATTGATTTGCAAATGTTGTAAGTTCAATTACATATAAGAAATATCATAAAATAATGATGTTGAGTAAATTCTATCTTAGTGAATAATCTCCATAACACTAATTGAAATAATAGGAAAACAAGAATTGAAATAGATAACATTGAATATAATATAATAGTAACTTCAAAAAAGACAAGAAGATAGACATGAATAAAAAATAATACTCAAAACATATGAAATTTATTGGGTATTCATCTAAATATAAAACACGCACAATGAATGACGAATAGCATGATTTTAAATTCAATGAATATAAAAATAACCTTACTTCATACAATTATTGTAAACATTAAATTAAAAGAAAATACAACAGATAGAATAATGAAAATCACAAATACAATTAATATCTTCATTAATATTTCAAACAGTTAAATAGACAATAAATAAAGAAATACAAGAAATATTTGTTTATAGCAATATTACTTAATAATGAAAGATTATTTACTATTTTAAGAAATGTCTTTACCAATGGTAAAAATATAATAACACTAAAGACAATAAAAAATTAATTGATAAAATGACTCTGGATTAATAATAAACAAAAATAATTAACTCAATCTTTTTATAATTAGGATTAGTTTAGAAAATTAAAAAAATTTAATAAAAAAAAATGACTCGTTTTATTTTTTTTTTTACTCGAAAATTTTGTAACTGAACCAAAGTCTATGACTATTAATAACAATTTATTTATTTTATAATTGTTTGTTATTTAGTTATAATTATTTTTTATTAAATAAAGCATTGACTGAAATGTAATGAAATAACATATTGTAAAAATATCCAGAAAATACCCCCCCATTATTATTAAAACAACCAATCATCTCTGACGGATTTAAACATTCTTCAAATTTTTTTGAAATTTCAAGAGAAATTTATTAATTATTTTAGATATCCATAACAAAGTTAATTTTTAACTATTGAGCGTTAACATTATTGAAAACAATCAATAAAAAACAAAAAACCATATCAATAAGAAACACACAATCAATAACTTTTCTATTTTTAAATAAGAAGCAATCTTTAATAAGACTGTTAGTTTCCTTTAAAGAATAAGTAAACTATTTTTGTTTTCTTCTTTTAATTAAAGCCTATGTTTAAACATTGCATTTTCGCAACGTGAAGGTTCATTTGTATATATCCTTTGATTTGGATTAACTACAATAAATCCATCAAAAGGAAGATGATATAAAATTGATTTAACTTCATTATCTGAAAAAATATCTTCATCTGAGAAGAATGTTTCTTCTTCATTACCTAATGATGAATGAGAATAAGAATTAATTCGTTGTTCTTGCATTAGATTTGAAGAGTGATTATTTTCAGTTACACCATCAAAAAAAGTAATACTCCTTTAGACTTTTTTAGATATATAAAAATAGAATAGTAAATAAACAAACAATCGAATTATGAAGAATGGTTCAAATATTTAAGCTCCAAATACAATTTATAGAAAAAAGAGAAAATTTATTCTTTTTATTTTTATCTTTAAGAACTTTAAAAAAATTAAAAAAAAATTAAAAAATAAAAGAAGTTAGTCTATTTTTGAAGTATATCTTAAAATTATTTGACATTTAAATAATGAGATATTTCAAGTGCGAATACCCAATTTGAAAAGAAAGAATAACGATAATAAGAGAGTGTTCTGACAATAAAAGGAATGATGGACAATAAAGTAGTAAAGTGAGGTTTTAACTAAAGAAAAAAAAGGATTATGGACCAACGAAGATAAAAAAAAAAGAAAAACCAATACAAATGATAATTAGAAACAAACTATTATAAACCCTTGTTACCAAATTTTGCTGACTAAGCACTTCGTTTAAGTCCTTTAAACAAAATTATCAAAGAAAGAAGAGAATTGAAAGAATTTTGGTTGTTTATATTAAAGAACTAATTAAATTCACTTTATATTCATGCAAAGTACAAAATCAGTTTATCTTGATAATAATGCTACTACCATGGTTGATCCAGAAGTGTTAAATAGTATGCTTCCATATTTTAGTGAAATTTATGGTAATCCAAATTCACTTCATGCATTTGGTCAAAAAGCTAGAAAAGCACTTTCAGATTCATTAGATATTATTTATGAATGTATTGGTGCAAGTGATGATGATACTGTTTTAATTACTGCTAATTCTACAGAAGGAAATAATACTGTATTAAAGACTATGTTAGCACGTTATGAAACAATGAAAGGGAGAAATAAAATTATTGTTTCTCAAATTGAACATCCATCAATTAGTGAATCTGAGAAATATTTAAAAGAAAGAGGTATTGAAGTTATTAAAATGCCTGTAAATGAAGATGGTGTTGTTGATCCTAAAGATTTAGAAAGACTAATTGATGATAAAACAGCTTTAGTTAGTTGTATGTGGGTAAATAATGAAACGGGTTTAATTATGCCAGTTGAAGAATTATGTAAAATTGCACATGATCATGGTGCACTTTTCCATTCTGATGCAACTCAAGCTATGGGAAAAATTAAAGTTAGTGTTAAAGATGTTCCTGTTGATTATTTAACTTTTACTGCTCATAAATTCCATGGTCCAAAAGGTGTTGGTGCTTTATTCATTAGAGCAGGTAAACCAATTACACCATTATTACATGGTGGAGAACAAATGGGTGGTTTAAGATCTGGTACAATTGATACACCAAGTGTTGTTGGAATGGCTGTAGCATTAAAGAAAGCAACTCATGACATTAATATTGAAAACACTTATGTTAGAAAATTAAGAGATAAACTCGAAGCTGCTCTTAGAACTATTCCTGATGTTACTATCGTTGGTAAACCAGAATTAAGAGTCCCTAATACTATTCTAGTTGCTTTTAAAGGTGTTGAAGGTGAGGCTATGTTATGGGATCTTAATAAACATGGTATTGCCGCTTCTACTGGTAGTGCTTGTGCTTCTGAATCACTTCAAGCTAATCCAACATTTAAAGCAATGAAATTTGGTGAAGACTTATCTCATACTGGTATTCGTTTATCCTTATCTCGTTTTAACACTGAAGAAGAAATTGATTATACTATTGACATTATTAAGAAATCTGTTGATCGTCTAAGACAATTATCATCAACATATGCTTAAACTTTATTTGTTAAAGGATTTACTTTCCTATTATCAACTAATTTAACATTTTTTAACATTTAATTATGTCTTTTTTCTTTTTTTTAAATTAATTTGTTATAATTTTTTTATTCATAAATATTCTTCTTCTTTAAAATTAAACTATATTACTCAATTACACTTAATTAAAATGATTAAAGTTCATTTGCTCTAAATAATAGTTTTCGTTGTACCGATTTTGGTTCATCATATTAACCCTTAACTGAATTAATGCATCTTCAATAATATAATTGTTATTATGAAGTAATTGAAGAGCTTCTGTTTTATCAAATTTTACATAAGGAGGTGTCATGGCTTCAGCCTTAGCCATATACTCATCAATTTTTTCAGATGGTAATGCATCACATCTATAAATTAATATTCCAGCAGTCTCTGCAACATCAGAACGAGTTAATCCATCACATTTGGCTTTATTAACACATCTAGCAAATGTAGGTCTTGATCCAGCAAAGTATTTTTGTGTAGGAATAACAGCTTGGAATTGTGGACCAGCCCTTGTATAATGTTTTGTTGTCATAGCTATTCTTTCTATTTTTTTTAGATATTAAATTTTTTTCTTTTTATTTTTTCATCTTTTCTTCTTACTTAAAAATTATAAAATTTCATCTTCTCATTTAAATAATCATCTGATTAAAATTTCTAATAACCCACACACTCGTTATTTATTATAGTATGATATTATATATTATATCTCTACTAGTTCAATGAAGATAATTTATTTAAAATAAAAAGTATTATTTAATAAAAATATTAAATTTTATGAAATTAATGAATTAATGGATCAATAAAGTCATATAACTTTTGAGTTTCAAGTAATTTTAAATGTCTGTACTTACCAAGGAAAGTTACGTTTGGAGTGAAAAGAGAACATGCTTTGAGAGATTCTTCATTAACTAATTTGTCACCATTAGAAAATATTACCTTGTATTTACTGTCGAATGAATCTCCTTCAAACTCAATTCTATAAGGTGTTTCATATCCAAGTGAATATCCACAATGAGTTTCAACACCAAAAGGAATTGTCCAATTGTATTTTTCATAGTATGCTCGAATGGAATTAGTTAAAATATATTCTGCTTTGTCTTTCATTTCATCAAACATATTATAAGCATCAACAAGATCTTTTGCAAAGAATTGTTTACCACTTTTTTTAAATACTATTAAAGGTTCATTACTCCAATAATCTGGATTTGGAGAAAGAGAAATAATTGATTGAATTGATCTTCCTAAATCACGAGCTAATTTTTCATTAATTGGTAATCCAATATTTTCACCAACAAGTAGTTCTTTGATAGCAAGACCAGAACCAAGGAATGGGGCACTTAAAGGAATCCATTTATCAATATAAGTATCACAAAATTCTTTTCCTAGATAATCTAGCAATTTATAAGTAATAAAAGCACCCATAGAATGTGATATAATCACAACTTTTCTTTTTGTATTTTCATATCCAGACACAATAAAATCTTTAACAGATTTAAGATATTCATCAGAAACATCATTTGATCTCCAATCATATCCAGCACCAAAAAGATCAAATAATTCAACATATCCTTGATTTTTCAAATGTTGAATTAATCCATGAAATGCGTGCGTTAATCTTTTTACAATTGGAATTGGACAAAGGGTGTCTATTGCATAGGTATTTCCAAATTGAGGAATTCTAATAGAAATACCAGGAATATTTTCTAATTTATTTGTAATAGGGTTCCATACTCCATGTAAATACCATAAATAACAATCGTCAGTAAATGAAATAGCGTCTTTCACAGTAACCCAACTTCTAAACCAACCTTTATGTCTACTACATTTTTGTGGAAATGGTTGATAGTTATCATCAACATCAATTTTTGATTCAAGAATAGTAGACATAAGACCAGGAACAAGGATAATTGGTTTTCTTTCAATAGCAAAAGAAAGAGTAAGTAATGTTAAAAGAAAGAAAGTCATTTATTAAAGAATTAATCAGATCAAAAGAAAACAAATTGATAAATGTTCATTTTTTGTATCTTTCATTAAAATTCTTAAAACATAAAAAAAAAGGAACAAAATAAAAGTCTTTAAATTATTTGGAACGAGTTTTTTGTTCTTGTAATTGTTTCCATTGTTTTTGAATACCACTGATTAATGAATTAAGTCGTTGAGTTGTTTCTTTTAATTTATTATTAGAATATTTTGAACTCATTTTTTTTAAGAATTGTATTCTATTTTGAACCATATCTTTTTGAATAACTCTTCCTTTATCTAAAATGGATTGTAATATACTTCTCTTTCTATCAAATATTTGTTTTCTTAATGAATTTATTTCTGAAACATATTTCTTTTCTTCTTCTGTTGTTTTTTTTAATAAATTAAATAATTTGTTATAGTTTGTTGATGCACTTTCTGTTCCAATCTATTAATTATGTTATTGTTTTGATTGTTATTTGTAAAAATATAACAAACTCTTCCTAATCGAATTGATACCATAATAGCATCAATTCCTTCTAATACTTTTTGTGTCTTTAAATGTGATTCTTTAGATTTAAATTGTACTTTTTCATATCGTTCTTGAAGTGAAATAAGTTGTTCATCAGTTTTAATATCTTCAATTTCTTCCATCATACCGTCTGCAATTTTTGTTATTACTGGTGCATATTTTGGCATTCCTTCATATACAGGAATTGATGGAATATCTGCAATAGAAATAAACTATTTTTTAATATATTTTTTTTATTAATTTACTATAATAAACAAACATCAGGATTCATTCTCATACGATTCTCGATCTTATTTTTAAATAATATTTTATGTTGTAAATGTGGTGGTAAAGCATTAACAGTGTTTTGAAGTACCTTAACCCATTTAGATTTTATTTGTCTAATACGTAATAATTTTTCTTTTAAAACTTCGATGATGTGTGCTGTTCTAACAAAGTCAGCTTTACAAATTGAATTACGAATATCACCAAATGCTGAATCAATATCGTCAAGTGTTTCTTTTTCAATATCTTCTGTATCAGAAATATGTGTTTCTGCTGATAAAATTGAGTCCTCAACGGCTTGAAGATGGTCAGTACATATGTGAATTGGTACTGCCATTACTACTATTAAAATCCCCAAAATTAAGGTTATTTTCATTGTAATATTATAATTTTTTTAGTTCGTTGATTTTTGTTTTTTTTTAAGTTCTTCATTTTTTTTTTATTTTTCTTACTTCATTCTTCAAATTTGATTATTAATACTAACAAATAGTTCTTTGATTAAAATAAACAACTTTCTGGTTATCATTATTCATTATTAATCAATAGCATTCTCTAATAATACATTTCAAAAGAGAAAAAAAAGTATTTTTAGTCAATACAAAGTAGAATCAAAACTAAGTATATATTATCTAATATTCATCCATAAGAATATATTATTTCAAATATTTTTAAATTAGCGTTAATTATATAAATATATTAAGTAATTTTATTAATTAGAACATAAAGAATAGAAGAGTTGAACCAAACAATAACTTCTTATTATTTATATACTATTTTTTGTTTGGTCCTTTTCAAATTCTATTAAAATGATATTTTTCAATTTAACAATTATGTTGTTCATAAAAATTACTGGTATTGAAAAATAATGATAATAAAGACTATCAAGATTTATATTAGACTATCATAACAGTCATTTTGTCAATATTATCACTCTAAAACTCACTGATATTAAAAGATTAAATAAAATAATTTTATGTGACATTATTTTATTGTATTACTGATAAAATATTGTTAAAATTTTTCTTCAATATTATACCTTGACATTAAGAAGATTAGAAGGAAGAAAGAGTTTGTTTTCTTAATGTTTGTAATAATTAGGCATTTACTAACAAGTTAAAATTGATAATAAATAATACAATTGATAATAATTATAACATTATTACTAGACTCTATACAGGATTGAATTTTATCAGTTATTAACTACTTATTTAATTTTATATTTAAAAATCCAAAAATAAAAATGAAAGATTAATCCAATTATATAAAATAAAAGTAAAATAACTTAGTCACGAACAAATGTACTTTTGGTAATTGAAATAGACTGTATTATTCTTCAAACATTATTTAAAAAAAGGAAATAACAAAATTACATAAATATTTTATACTGAAAGAAACCTTAAAATGACTGAACTAGCAATACAATTTCCTTACATTCTCTAAAAAGAAGGTTTCATCCAATTAGATGAAAAAGATGCATAATTAAACGAAGGAGAGGTGTGTGTAGAATATTGAGGATGTGGTTTTTCTATGAATAATTAATAACATAAATCCAAAGTAATTAAATAACAAAATAACAAACCAAGAAGTCCATCTATTTGAATATAATCAGCATAATCCCTCACAGGAGAAAATGCAGAAGATATACCATTTGTAGAGTCTCCAATGTGATCATGAAACTGAGGTGAAGGAGGACAACTATTACTTTTTATTATACTTTGTTGGACTGAGAAATTTTTTAATGGAGTTAAGGTAAATGGTTGTGGTGGTGCTGTTTTATTTAATTTAAGAAAGTACTTTTGTGCATGACTTCTAATTTGAACAACTGTTTTTGTTCCAATATACTCTTTAATTTTTTTCCAGTCTTTATGAAAGAGAGCAAGACCTTCAACAAATTTAGCATGTTCAGCATCAGTCCAAACTTCTCTTTTTTTAGTTATTGTGTATTGTTTCCTTTGTTTTTTAGTATATACTAAACGGTCTGATGGTAATGGAGATGATGACGTAGATTGTGATGAACCGGGAGAAAGGGGGTATTGAGGAACAAAAGAATCATGAGGTGAAATTGACATAATTTTATTGATTCGTTTGTTGAAGATTCTTTGGTTAAGTATTTTTTATTTTTATATTGAATAGTTTTTATATTAAAAAGATATGGTTTATTTCAAAGTTGTGAGATTTTTGTGAATGAAAAAATTTAAACACCTTAAAAAATGAGATTTTAACGAAATTCTAGAGTATGTCAAAACATAAAATACCGAGATTGTTATTTGATTAAAAGACATGTGATTATGTCTGCCATTTAAATACATTAAAACAGCAAAAAAGATGAGTCTGAATGAGCCAGTTTATGAGGCAAAATGAAATAGAATGTTTAATGGCAAGTTTTCCTAATATTAATCCAGGATTGATTGAAGAAGAATATTTTTCTAGAAAAGGGAATTTAGATAATATTATAGAACGTTTATTAGAAATAGAAAATGAATATACTATTCAAAGCTCATTGATTGAAGGTATCAATTTTTGTGCTGACCAATCGGAGTTGAAGTCAGAGCCATGCTATATTACAAAGAATTATATACCATGTAATTTTCAGTCAATCTTTACTAAACCAATTGAAAAGTAAATAAAAATACTTGAACAAATTCAATGAGGAAGATGAAAAATAAAAAAGAAATGAGTGGTAAATGAAGGTGTTAATATCACAATTATATCTTTTTTTTTAGAAATCAATAAAAAGTATTTTTAGAAGGAAAAAACTTCAAAGGACAAATAACTTAAAATTCAAAAAATACACTCAATAAGAATAACAGGATAAATCCCAAAGAACGAAAATGTTGTTATGAAAAAAAATTACAAAATACTAACAAATATTTCTCCTTTATTAAAACACTTCATTGGATTAGTAAAAAGTTTTTTTTTCCATAAAAATGATTGAAATAAATATACTTTAAACAAATAATTTCAATAAAATATAAACATAAAAAGGTTTTTAAAATTCCAACAAAGGAATAAAGTAAATCAATTAAAATTATTAAATAAAATGGAGGAGTAATAACAAAGGTAGAAGGGTTATTAAAAAAAGAATGAAATCCCAAATTTTATAATAAGAAATTATTAAAGATAAAAGCTTAAAAATAACTTTATTTTATTTAAAGAATAGAAGATAAGTAACTTTAGTTTATGGTTTTATTTATCTCCATAAATATGATAAAATTAATTTAGCTCAAATTATTGACACAACAAAGCTATATTTATCAAAATACTACTAAAAATAAATAATAGAATATTCTTAATTAGATTCATGGTTATTCAATTAAGTAAAATTAAATGATGTATGTAATTATCTAACTAACTTAATTCAATTAAATATTATATTTGTTTTTATTATTTTAATTAAACAAATTAACATTATAATTTCAATAACCATTATTGTAATATGAAACAGTATTAATTAATAATGTTCAGAAATGTAAAAATCAGAAATATTAATAAAGAAGATGAAAGACTATGAAAGATGTATATTCATCAGAATTATCTTATAAAAGTTATATAAAATTAGTTAGTACAACATTAAAAATATATAAGACTTAATAGGTTAAGTATTTAAGAAATGGAAATAATTATCTAAAATAATCATAATATATTCAAACATTGACAAACAATCGAATATTCATTTACATAAATTAATAATAACACTTTTTCATAGGAGAATATAGAATATATTTATTATATATTTATTCTATTAAAAGTCTTACTTAAAAAATTTATTTTTTTTATTCCTCAATAAAGAGATATTGTTGAATTTTTCATTTTTTAAACAATTTTTTTTAAAATATTTCATTATGAAAAAAAGTGATAAAAGAAGACAATATAAATTGTCTAATAACCATTCATGTTTGACTGCTACTTTACTTTCTTTGATGTCTAAATGCTTCAAATTTACTATTTCTTTTCCCAATAAAATACCATCAAAAACTTTATTATTTCCTAAAGTGAAAAGAATACAAACAATAGATGGTGATATTATTGATACGTATTCAATAATTAAAAAAAGGATTTTTCAACAACGAAGTAAATCATCTTCTAATGAAATTAATCAAAAAATTCCAAGACTAAATTTTGAAAGAAGATTTGAGCTATTTCATTTTCTTCAGGACCTTGCAGCATTAAATGAATGCTGTTTTGTTCATAATTTTGTTGAAGAACATGGTGGAATAAGTGGAGATTTTTATATTACTTATAACAAGAAGATACTCACTAAAAATGAAATTCTAACCCTTGGTTATAAAACCTTACAACGAATATACCAAAAACCAGAATTATTTGATAAGAAAAAACTAAGAGTGTTTGATTTTAATGATTTGTCAGAAGAGTCATTATCAAAATAATAAGACTTAACTTGTTATTGATAATTTTTTTTAATAACTCTATTTATAATTTATATTTATTGAATATAAAAAAGTTCATTCTAAAATGTAAAGGAATTAGAGGTTCTTTTATTTTAACTTATCTATTAGAAAAAAAAACATTAGAATAGAATTGGTTTTTGTAGAAAAGCATATTTTTTTCATGTATGCTATAATTAAGAAAGTTTTAACTTAAAGAAATTGTAATAGATCCAACTTAATCCTTGAATGTTTTATGCTATTCTCTTATTAATAGCAATTCAATTGAGTAAATTATATTATTCTTAAAAGTCATTATAAAAAATATCATGAACTAAGAAAATTCCAATTTAAAAAAACTATATTTTGAAAAATAAAAATAATTTTTATTTATTCCTAAATTAAACTGAAAATAAAAATATTTTTAAAAGAATGTTATATGAAAACTTTATCAACACATATTATTATTCTATATAAAAATTATCAAATGGTTTATTAAATTTGAATGAAGAGAGTATTTTTGTCTAACAATTTAAAATTAAAATCATTCTACTTATTGAAGGATTAACAAATCTAAAAAAATATCATTTCTAAAATTTAATTTTAATTGAAAAGTTGTTTTCAAAAAATCAATCTCCTTACATAATAAATGAAGACAAATCATATTCAAACCTTTTTATAAGAAATAATCCTTATTTTCATTACAATTCATTAATAGTTTTAAGTACTAAGATGAGTTACAAAAAAAAAAATACGAAAAAAAGTAAAAATATTATAAATTAAATTGAGATGAATCGAAAGAAGTCATATGAATAAAAATTAGTATCAATGATAAAGAAACATCTACTGAAAACATTCCTATACATTTATAATAAAAAGAAACCATTATTGCAAGAAGCACTAACGTTGGATATAAAGAAGTTTGACAATAGAAGATTTTTAAATAAGGGTTAACAAATAATGCAAAGATTGGAATAACTAATATAATAAAAGTTGGTAATAATAATTCTTTGTCAATTAACAAAAACAATAATTGAACTACAAGAATAATCAAAAAATATACAATTTCATATCGTTTAATATTATTAATTGCTCTTACCCATATTTGGTTTCCAGATGGTATATGATAATTCTTAGACAATACCTCTTCAAGTAATGTTGTTAGTTCATTGATTTTATTCATTACTAATAAGTCACTCCAATGAAGATCTAAATAAAACAACGTTCTTCTCTTGATTTTGTTATTTTAAAATTATATTATAATTATATTATATTTTTTATTATTTAAATTTCAATCAAAAAGATCGATTTTTATTTCTTTTTTATTTTTTGATGATTTATTTCACTTTTACAATAACAAAAAATAATCCTAAAAAAATGATATTCAAAATTCCAAACATAGTTACTTTTCTAAACTATTTATTTAAGTAAAAGAACTTGAAAATTAGAATATGCGAATAATACTGTTAGTAGCCATTATTGCACTTAGTTATGCTAAAGTATTAGATGCAGAGACATTAGTAAAACTTCAAAAATTATCACTTGGATGTCATTTAAATGGAGTAGTATATTATACAACAAGTCAATGGTTTGAAGAAGAAAATAAAACAAAACATTCATTAAAGAAATTAACATTAACTGAAACTGAACCAGTTGATTTAATTCCATATAGTGAAGAATCATTTTCTAATTTTGTTTGTCTTAATGAAGGTGTTTATTTGCTTCATAATGGACAGATTGGAAAAATAGAGAATGACAAGATTGTAGACATTACTTCTACACCTATTTCTATTGATACATTTAAAATGATTTCTGTTGGTGGTAAATTAAGAGGACTTGCATCAATGACTGTTTTCCCAGGAATGACTCTTGAAGAATCAGCAAATAAATTTATTGAATTAGAAAAACAAAATTATAGAGTATATGATCAATTGATGATAAGAAGATGGGACACTTATTGGGATGGACAATTCCAACATTTATTTACTTTTAAAGAAGAAGATGATAACTCAATTACATTTAAAGATATAATGAATGATAAGAAATATGATTGTCCTGCACGTCCATTTGGAGGAAATGAAGAATATGATATTAGTCCAGATGGAACAATGATTGCATTTTCTATTTTATTAGAGAATCCAGCATCATCATTAGATAATAACGTTTATTATGCAACATTTGAAAATCCATTAGAATGGAATTGTATCACAACTAATAATAAAGGATATGATAATCAACCATTATTTAATAATGATGGAAGTCTTTTATATTATCTTTCAATGTCAGCACCTAAAGATGAAAGTGATAAATCAGTATTAAAATCATATGATTTTAATCAAAAAGTAATTAGAGATATTACTGGAAATATTGATTTATCATTTAGTGCACCAATGAAAGTTGTTGGTAATTATATGCATCTTTCTACTCAAATTGAAGGAAATGTATATATTGTAGGATTAGATACATCTAAGTCAGAATTAACTCGTGAAGACGTTAATATTATTACACAAAAAGGTACTGCTGGTTCATTTGTTTTTACAACAACAGGAATAATTTATGAATATAATTCATTTACTCTTCCACAAGAATTATTCCTTTATGAAAATAAAGTTATTAAACAAATCACTCACATTAATCAAGAAGTTCTTTCTACAATTAAATTTGGAGAATATAAAGAAATTCATTACACTGGAGCAAATAATGATCAAATTCATGCATTTATTACTTACCCACCAAATATGAAAACAAACACAAAATATCCAGTAATTTTATATACACATGGAGGACCAGAATCACCATGGACTAATAATTTCCATTATAGATGGAATCCACAAGTTATAGCAGCACAAGGTTATATTGTTTTTGCACCCAATTTCCATGGATCAGGAAGTTATGGAGATGCATTTTTAAAAGCAATTAGAAAGAATTGGGGAGGATGGCCATTTGAAGATTTAATGAAAGGAATGGATTATTTAAAAACTAGTGAGCCATTAGTTGATATAGATAATGCATGTGCTATGGGAGCAAGTTATGGAGGATATATGATGAATTGGATTAATAGTCAAAATACAGGTAGATTCAAATGTATTATTTGTCATGATGGTATTATGGATTCTGAAGGTAGTTATTATTATATGGATGAAATGTATTTCCTTGAAACTGAGTTTGGATATCCAATGTATGAAGATGATACTTATTATAAGAAATATAGTCCATTAAATTATGTTAATGGATATAATACTCCTCAACTAACTATTCATGGAGGTTCAGATTATAGAATTGATGTTGTTGCAGGATATCAACAATTTGTTACATTACAAAGAAAGAATATTGAAAGTAAATTAGTTATTTATCCTGAAGAAAATCATTGGGTATTACGACCATACAATTCTATTGATTGGCATGCTCAAGTCTTTGATTGGCTTGCCAAATACCTTCCAAAGAAATAATTTTTAACTCTTTTTTATTAATTTAAATTACAATATTTTTAAAGACGTTAAATTTAAAGAAATTAATAAATTACATTTTATTTTAATTCATATCTTTCTTTCTCTCTCTCTCTTTCTTTCTTTTTAACTTTTAGAAATATTTTTTAATGTTTCAGTACATTGAATTTTTCCATTAGCATCTAAAATTAATGGATATTTTGATATAAATTCATGATATTCTTCTTCATTTGAGAATGAAAGAAAATCCATAACATCATTAACTTCAATAACTCCACCAATAGACATAAATAAAAGCATAAGACCTTTTAATCTAACTTTTTCTATTGCAAGTTTCATTATTACTTTAAATTTAGGAATAGCTTCTTTAAATAATTTAAGATATGTAAAATATTCTCCATTATCAAATGCTCGTTTTACATTTAATACAAATTGAATATTTGGATTTATTAATATTTCTATTGGAATTTCTCTTAATAATGAATAATTAGTAATTGGAGAAACATTTTTTGAATCCATATTACAAAGAATCATTGCTGATATATAAAAAATTACTTTTGGATTATCATTTGAATAACCAAATTTTTTATATAACTGTTTTAGTGCTGATGCACATTGAATAAATTCAGAAACATCATTCTAATATAAGTTAATATTAATTAATTTTATTTGTTAATAAAATTATTAAGTATATTAATGTATTTAAAAAGAAAAAACAAACATTTTCTAATGAAATATCTGAATGTATTTCATATACTTGAATTGAAAATTCATTTTCAATATGTTGTAATGTTAAGTCTTGTCTAATTGCTTTTAATTGATCACAAATATAATCATATTTCTTATTTTCTTTATATTTTGTTAATACATAATTTAATGATTTATAAAGTACTTGTAATGGTCTAACTTCTGATGACTTTGCTTCTCCTTTAATTCTAAAATAGTGTTTTTCTAATTCTTGTGATGTTCCAATTAAATTATCATTTTCATCCTTCAAATTAATTTCTGGTTGTTTTTGAGTTGGTTCAACTTCTTTTAATTTATTAACTCCATCATAAAAGTCTATAAAAAACTTATCTTTTGGTTTCTTTGTCATTTGACTTTTTATTGGATGATGTGAATGTGTTATTTTCTTTTCACTTTCATTATTTGATTTTTCAGTAACTGTTTTAATATCTTTTGGTGCTTTTGGTTTTTTATAATACTCATCCTTAACTTTAGGATATTGTTTTTGTTTTAGTTCAATTTGGGGTTCTTCTTCTTTAAATATTGACTCTCTTTTATGATATGGTTTAGTACCTTGAACTGGTACTATTTTGGGTTTTGAAGTTGATGATAATGTATTTGGTTTCTTTGTGGTATTTCCCCCATAACTTATTGGTTTTGGTGTTTCTTGTTTATACCTATTATGTTCTGCTTTATATTTATTAGTTAATTGATGACTTTGTTCATACTCATTTTGTGGGTTTTGGTTATTAACAACTTGGTGTGGTGAAACTAGGTTTGGAATTAGAGAAGTATTTTGAAATGTTGAAACAAAGGGTGATGAATAATATGATATAGGTTGTTGGTTGATAGAAGAATATCCATTAAATGGTGTTTGGTATATATTTGGATATGTTGTATATTGATTGTAATATGATGGTTGTGAAGAAGAAGAAGGTAAAGAAGAAGAATTTATTGAGTAAGGATAATTAGATGATATAAAATTATATCCATATTGCTGTTGTTGTTGTTGTTGAGAAGGAGATAATTTTACAAAAGGAGTAGAATATTTTTGAGGTTCCTCTTTAATAGATATTGGTTTGTGTATAGGGTTTTGTAAGGTATGTTGATAATGTATAGGTTGACTTGTAGGAGGAGATTCAATAGGTTGAGTTTGTTGTTTTTCAACAGACTTTGATTCTTTTAATGATTTTTCTTCTATAAGTTGTGATTCTTTTAATGATGACTTTTCATCAGATTTGGATGGTTTAGAAGGTTTTTTTATAAGAGGTTTAGAAGGTTTTTTTACAAGAGGTTTAGAAGGTTTCTTTTCATTTGATTGAGGTGTTTCATCACACATTTGTTGTATTTTCAATAATTGTAAATAAATAGGATCAGAAATAGTTTTTTTACCTTTCTTTGGTTTAGTAATAGGTTTTGTTAGAGGGGCTTTATTAATTTTAATAGGCTGTAATGAAGTTTTTTTTGTAGAAGAAGATAAAGGTTTATTACTCATGAATGAAGAAGTGAAATTAAGAGTTATTTGATTAAAGAAAAAGAAAAGATATTAAAAAAGAAAAAACGGTTTGAAGGAAAAGTCTCTTTTTAGAAAGAAAAGTCTTTAAATACCCTTTTTTTTCAATATTTAGAACAAAATAAGAGTTTGGTTTTTAGTTTAATTAATTTTTAGTTTAGTTTCTTAAGAAAACAACTTGCTAATTCATTTCATCATGCTTAGTGTCATAGATAAGTATATTGGTAAACTCCTTGAAACTCCAAGTGAAGAACAAAGAACAATTGTACAAGAATTAAGTAATACAAGATCAGAAACTAAACGAGCAATTTATCTTGGGATGTTAAAGAATATATTAGAATTATTAAATGTAAGGAATAAAGGGTATTCTATTGTATTTATGAATCAATTAACAACTGACCTTCAACGATCAGAAATATACCAAACAATGCCAGTTTCTAAAAGTGAAATATTGTTATTAGTTTGTTTTATTAATAGATTAAAAAAAAAGGTCATATAAAACAAATAATAAATAATAGACAAATATTGTTAATGATATTGGATATCGTTTTAATTCAGAAGAAAGTTTAGAAAAAGTAGTTAAAGCACAAAGTATAATTCGAGGATTTTTATATCATAAAAGATATTTAACATATAAAGCATTTAGTGCAACAAAGTTTCAACAATATAATTCATCATTTTTAAATTTACATGAAAAACAAATTCATTATGTAGAAAATATAGAGACATTAATATATTATTTAGATGAATTAAGAGCACAAGGAAAATTTAAAATTTTAGGAGAATATCCATATAAAAATTATTATAATTCACTTACATCAATTCTTAGTTTAGAAACACAATTTAAAAATGGATTAAATGATATTTATGGAACATTTCCTAAAGTTTCTGGAGTTGGAGAAGTTGTAAAAAAATATTGTGAAGGAGTTTTAGAAGCATATAAAGAAATTAATTTACAAGGAGCAGTTGTTATGGCTACAGTGTTTTATGAAAAAGAAAATCCATATTTTAAAGAAGTATATGAAACATTATCAAAAGGACAAACATATGCATTTAGATATCTTCTTCAAAGTTTTCCAAGAATTCAACATTTTAGTAATTTAATAAAATTACTTACAGTAATGAAAGAAGCTGTAGAAAAATTATCAGAATATAAAGAAGAAATAGAACCATTAGAAGAAGCATTAAAAGAATTAAATAATATTAATATAATACTTCATGATACTATTAAAAGTGAACAAATGAATAATAAAGAAATAACAATTAAAACTAATGAAACAACTGAATTTTCATCACTTTTACTTAAAATTAAAAAAGAATTTACTAAAACACCATCAGTTGTTGAAGTTTATTTAAAATTAGGAAAGGAAATAGGTAATATTGAAGAAAAAAGATTTTTAAAAGAAACAAGAGTTACAGTAGAAATATTACCAAATATTGATAATTATCCACCTAATCTTAAAACAAATACACAATCAGTTAGTTTTGGTTCTTCAAATCATCTTACAGAAAAAAAACATTCAACTTCTTTAAGACCTAAATTACAAAAAAGAACAAATAGACAAAAAGAAGAAGCAAAATTAAAAGCAAGTGGTGAACTTATGAAAGATATTGAAGTATTAAAAAATAATGATTTAGAAACTATTAAATTTGAAGCTACACTTTTTATTATGAATGATATTATTTATGTAAGTAAAATGGATTCTTTAGAAAAATATCATATTTTAACTGAAATACCATTAACTGGAAATGGATTTAGTGTAAGTAATTGTATTGGAAATAAATTTAATATTGGATCAAAAGTTTTTGATTTTACTACATCATTTATTATACCAAATGAAGATGATGCACGTAATTTATTCTTGTTATTAAGAGAAGTATTCTTTGTTCATTCTCCACCTAAATTATTTGGTGGATCATTAGAAGATATTTTAGAAAGAGAAGGAAATACAACAGGTGTTCCATTATGTATTAAAGCATTAGGTGAATATTTAATGAATCCAAATAATTTACAAACAGAAGGAATTTTTAGAAAGAATGGAGCGTCTAATAAAGTTAGTAGATTAGCACATGTATTAGATCAAATGCCTGACCATTTTAATTCATTTAATGAATATGCAGTTCATGATATAGCAGCAACATTTAAGAAATTCTTTATGGATATGTCAGAACCATTATTTTCACCAGAAGTTGTTGATTTATTTATTAAAATTGTTAAAGGTTCTCCTGATGAAAAAGATGAAATTAAAAAAGTTATGAAAGAACATATGAAACCAATGTATTTTAAATTGGCTGATTTCCTTATTCATGTTATTAAGAAAACTGTTGAAAATGAAAATGTTACATTAATGAATGTTCATGCTATGAGTGTTTGTATTGGACCAGCAATTATTCGATCAACAAATGAAATAGTTGTTCAACCAAATTCAAAGAATAATGATGTAGAAGGAGCAGTAACAAAAGTAACAAGATGCAATGAAATATTAGCAGAAATTATTTCTGATTGTGATTTCTTCTTTCAATAATTTAAATTAATTAATTGGTTTTTATATTAATATAAAAACCAATTGAAATAATGAAAAACAAAACATAAAAATTTATTCTTTTTTTAATTCATCTTCTTTTTCACATCAAATTTAAACAATCTTCAAGTTCTGGTATCATGACTACATGTTGAGAAATATTCCCTAATCGATATACTGACTTCTTTGGTAATGAAACTACTGTTGCTTCTTCTAAAAAATGTGGTTTTGTTCCTTTTGTTAATTTATAAGTAATTCCTCCAATTCTCATCATTGCAATTCCACTCTTTCTAAATTGAATAGTTCCAATATATCCTGACATTCCTTTTAATGGATTTTCAACTAATTTAATATTACTTTCCTCATGAATTTTATCTTCTTTATCTTCTTCTTTCTTTTCAACATTATTATTTTCATTTTCTATTTCTACTCCTTTTTGAATAGGTAAAACTGATGGTATTTGCATCATAATATATTCATCATATAATATTCCACTTTCACTATGTAATGGATTATTAATAAATGTTGGATTTTCTTCAATTGTTTCAAGTGGTGTATAATATGTTTTTTCTTTGTCTAAAACTGGTTCACTTATTTGTTCTTTTTCCCCATTTATTTCTTCTTCTGGGTCTCTTAATGGAAGTGTAATTGGATGGTTTGGATTACAAGGATCAAAGTCTAATTCAGGGTTTAATAATAATTCTTTCTTTTTGTCTTTTTTATTCTCTTCTTTCATCCCTATATCTTCTCCTGCTGTCATCATTAAATTACTTATTCCTAATCCACCATTTCCATGTGCAACTGGTCGTGGTTTGAAGACTCGTGGAGTTGGTGTAATTGTTGTTTTCTTAATTTTTGGTTGTTCTTTTTTAACTTTCAATTTTGTTCGTCCTTCATTCCCATTATTTGCTTCTGGCTTAAATCCTGCTGCTCGAATATTTGGTGCAAATTGAATTTTTGGTTGTGAAGGTTGTATACCACGAATAGAAGTTAGTCTTGAGTTGGCTGTATTTTGAGAATTTTGTGATAATAATTGGGAAAGGGGAATGTTTTGATGAGGTTCACTCATTGTTTTCTTTTGTATTAAAAGTATTTTTTGTTTTTTACTTCAAATTTTTATTATTTATTATTATTATTTATTATTTATTATAGTTTATATCTCTTCTTATGGTAAAGAATTATTAAGAATATATTTAAAATACAAATATCAAACACAGAAATAGGAGAAATGATAGAAGCAATAAAAGAAAATCCAAATGGAATAAATAAAAGAATGAAGAAAGCATTTGGTAAGAAGATTAGTTTGAATGAATTAATGGAGATAATAGAAACAAATGAAAGAAAATATGATGTAAAGAAAGTATTTGAATTGATAAATAATGAACTAAATGATAGATATTTAAATGAATGGAAAGAAAAGAAATGTGGTGAATACATAAGATGTACAAATGGCACTTTCAATGATAAGAAATTAACAGTAGCCACATGGATGTCATTAAATATAAAAAGAAATACATTCATCCAAATAGTAAAGATGCAAGAAGGTACAAGTATAACAGGAAATATTAAAGCAAAAATACTCAAAAATGATGCTTTAAAATATTGTAAACATTGTCATAACACAATAGCATCTATTAGTCATATATTGTTAGGATGTAATGAAAAAGAATCAAATATTAAAACATGATTATGTTTGTAAACAAATATTTAAACGTTTATTAATTATCCATTTTAATGAATTTGATTCATTTGATTTTAATAATCCTCCTAAATGTATTAATAATGATGAAATGATAATAACTTACAATAAAGATTTATTGGTTAGTGATAATTCATTCCATGCTAGAAGATAAGATATATATTATCAAAATATGAAAGAAAAGAAATGATATATTATAGATGTTGTTATATGTCAGGATAATAATTTAGAATTAAATTACATTCACGAAATAAATAAATACAAAGAATTACAAGAGAAATTAAGAAATAATAGAGAATTAATATATGTAGAAATAATACCTGTAATATTATCAATAAATTGATTAATACATAAAGAATCAACAAGAAGATTAAAAGTACTGAAATTAATTTTAGACTTTTCCAATATCCTACGAACAATAATAATCAAAAATATGAAAGACTTAATGTTTTACACAGGAAATTCTGGCAGCACGTTAGAAGAACAATCTAATTGTAATATCATATAAAATAAATATAAAATATCAGTATAAGGTATTGAAGAAATTGAAATAATCACTTCTTACTAATAATAATAACAAAATGACAAAATATTTATTATTTGATATTTTTTTGTAATTTATATCTGTATAATAAAATTATCATATCTTATAGTTTTTTTTCATCAGAATGATGTTATAACTGGTGAAGCAAAATATAAAAAATAAAACTGTTAAAATACCTTATAAACATAGTCTTAATAGAACTACAAAATTCTAAGAACTACGAGAACCATTAATTTATGTTAAGTGAAAATTTACTTAAGGATTACCTCACAACCAGCGTCACTAATTACAATAGCAAAGACGTTGTAATAAAAGAGGTTGTTGAAGTGGTAAATAAACATCATTTATCTCTTTGCTTTGACTCTATAACAAGAACTATAATGATGTATGGAGAGTTACGTTATAACGATGAAGTTTGTCAATACAATTTTCCTATTCTTGCGGAGATTCCTTCTACTTATCCTAAATTATTGCCGTTTATTAAACTTAACTTGCCTCATGTGCCACATTGTTCCGTGTTGAACAATGATGGTTCTTTTAATTTGAAACAATTATTAGACGATAAAACATTGACTTTGGTAAACATTTTTGACCTGATTATTGTTCAATTAAAGTTAATTCCTCTTCAATCAATTCCTTTCTATTTTCTGCCAAGTTCATCAAATACCATAAGTTCATCTCAACACAAGCCACATATAATTCAGCCAAACTTAGTTAATACTAAAACTGAATCTTCTCTAGTCTATCCCAGAGACATCCAACTTCCAAAACAAAACGAAGTTAAAAATGAACCAATCACTATTAAACCGATATTACCAATAAACACTAAACCAATATTTCCTATCAACAGACAAATCAAAGGTAATCCGACTAAGCCAGCTCAAAGAATTATTATTGGAAAAGAATGTGTACCAGGGTTCAACAGCATTGAATCATACCTTGACTATATTGACTATGAAAAAGAATTAATAAAATATGAGGAACTTTTAGAAAACCACCAAATTACAAAGGAAGCTTATAACATATTCAAGTCAGGTATTTATCCAAAAGACCCATTACCACCACCAGAGAGGTACAAAGACATATTGGAATTGTACAAAAACGGTAATATTACAAGGGATGAAATTAATTTAAATGTATTACCTTTAAGTAAAGAAGAAAGGGCTTACATTAAAAATATGGATGAGCTTGATGAAATGCAAAAAACTTTTGCTGAAATGTTTCTTGATGGAGAGATAGAAGAAGAAGAGATGATATTTCTAAATAACAGTTATAAAGAATACCTTCATGTAAATCCAGAATAAAAACTCAATTGATTTTAACAATTAATTCATTTTCTTTATAAGGAAGAATTAAATGAAGTTTATCTTTTAATTCCAGAGGAATAAACCTTCCTCCTAAATAATGAATTCCCTTAAAGTTTTTCACTCCTAATTTTGGAGCAGATAAAGAAATTAGAACATCACATCGTTGAATCCCATCTTGAAGATACCCTTGTTCCACATCCCACCCTGATGGTATATCAACTGAAATAATTGGAACTTTCAATGAATTAATATGACTAAAAATGTCTTTAAATATTCCTCTAACTGGTCCTTTAAAACTAAATCCAAAAACTGCATCGACTATAGCATCATACTCAAATGAAGATAGTTCTGTAACAACTGGAATATCTTGAATTTCTAATTGTTTAATAAGAAGTTGAAGATGTTCATTTTTTGATTGTTTCGGATAAAAAACTGTTACTTCATATCCAAATAAGGATAAATATCTCCCACAAACCAACCCATCTCCTCCATTATTTCCTGGTCCACAAAGTATTAAAACTCTCTTATTTCCTTTTTCAATTGGATATTCTTTTGTTACAACTTGAGCAACAGCTAACCCAGCTATTTCCATTAGTTGTACCAATGAATATTTGTATTTTCCCATTAATTCTTCATCAAGTTTAATTGCTTGTTCTTGTGTTAAATATTGCATTTTGCTTTTTCTTATTTTAAGTTTTTCTTTTTTCTTTTCCAAAAATAACATCCTTTTCCAATGCAGGAAATACAACAAATTTTAATGTCATGGATATTGTGTAAAACATTTGTGTCTTGTAAAGAAAACCAAACAAAACATAGAAATTTAACATCATATAAAAGAATGAATGTCAATAACAATAATTGACATAACAACAATAATAAAAGTAAATGAAATAACAAGGAAAATGGATTAGAAGAAGAAAGATACAAATAAAAACAAATAAGAAACAAGATAAATACAATAATAATAAAGATAATACAAATAACAAATATAAAAGGCTAACAATAAATGATATATAAAAAGAATAAAAAGAATAAGAAGCGAATGGAAAGAAGGAGAATACGAAGAAATACTCAAGAAATAAGAAGATAAAAGAAAAAGAGTATAACATTCAACAAGAAATATATTCAATCAAAAAGAAAAAGATAAATGTAAAGCTGTAAGAAGAATTTAAAGAAAAACAAAAGATTGAGAAGAAAAATATTAAAACAAATGAAGAAGAAATTAAAAACAAAACCAAATAAAGAAATGAATGAAATATGTAAAATTGCAAGAATAATAAATAAAAAACAAAGTATAATGAAAATACAAGAAGAAATACAACAAAAGAAAGAAATAGAAAATTAATTGAAATGATGGATTGTTTTTGCAATTAATTGGTTAAACAAGAAATTATATAAGAAATTAAGATGGGAACAAATAGAAAGTATAATAAAAGTAATAAACATCAATGTCAATAATAAAAAAGAATATATTAATTATATTAAAATATCACATAAAATAAAAGAAAGCACTAAACAATACATTAAAGTGAAAGTAAATGATATAATAGAAGAGTAGAGTGTAATTCTATAATAAAAAACATCATATTAAAGAATAACTCTACAGAAATTGATGAAGAATATCTTAACACTCTCATCAATAAAATAAAAGAAATGAAAATAGAAAATGTTCAAACATTAATTACTACTGGAAAAGAAAAGAAACTGACCGATTAATAATGGAAATTAATAATAGATGGATATGGTCAGGAAGCAGAATGCAGGATCTGCAAGATGATATGAAAAGGATTTCAATGGTTATGCACCTCTATCTCCAAAATAAAATAATAAGAGATAAATTTGATGAAATAAAAGAAATCCTAAAGAAAATTAATAGAATAGAAGATTTAGTCAATGAAATTGTACAGAATAAAGTGCATCATGAAATTAAAAGAATATGATGAAGAATGAATTAAAGTTAAAGCACTAGAAAGAATAAAGTACTTAAAATATATGATGACAATGATAAAAGAAAGAATTAAATTTAATAAAAATGAAATAATCAGAATCAATACAAATAAAATCATGTTTGATTCTAACAAGAAAATTAGAATAAAGAAGAAAGACCCAAAAAATGAAATAGTACCCAAATAACGATATTACATTAGAATATTGGAAATCGTTATATGAAACACAGGTGATATTAAATAAAGAGAATTGGAAAATAAAACAAATCATCTCGTGGAAGTGAAAGATATATCAATTATGATAGTGTCATTAGTAACAATAAATGAATTAAATTTAAGTATAATGAGAATAAGGTAACTGTAAATATTCATTGACACAATATAAAATTAATAAAAGAAATTAACACGATGATAAAATATGAATAATAAATAAAAAGAATAAAATTAATTTAATAAATGATATGAATAATGTTTCATATCATAATAACAATGGAAATAAATGAATATAAATAAATAAAGAATAGAATAAATAAGAAATGTTAAAATAAGTTGAATAATAAATTGAAATAAAAGAATAATAAATATAGAGAGTATTAAATTAATTAAAGAATTGAAAACATAAATTGATATTATTAAAGAAGTTAAAATTAATGTTATTAGAAATATGAATAACTTTATTAAACATTAACCCTACTAAAATAAAACATATTCATTTGAATTATTATAAATAGATAAATGGAATTGATTTATCTGTAATGAATATAGAATAATAGAAACTAATTCTATTTATACTTAATTATTTAATTATTATTTATTATAATGAACATTTAAGTTGTGACATTTTTATAGTTTAAATTTTATGTTGAACCAATAATAGACAATCGTGTAATGAAATTTCAATGATGAAATAGAATAGAAACATCACCAAGAATGAAATGTACAACATATGCAGATGGATATTTATTGAATTGGTTGGGAGAATGTGAATCAATAAAAGAATTTAAATGAAGTAAAGGAGAAACAGATAAAGAATATGGATGTAGAGAATGTTCAGAAGGATATTATTTAATAAATAAAGAATGTTCGAAATGTAAAGAGAATTGTACAACATATTCAATAAATAATGAATGTAATAGTTGTAAAGACGAATATATATTAACAAATAAAGAATGTATTTACTATTTAGATATTAATAAATGTAAAGAAGCAAAGAATAATAAATGTTAAAATGTTCATTTTGGTATGGAACGAATGAAAAAAAGAACTAAATGTAATAAAGAAATAATATGGTGGGTGATAATGATTATCATCATTATTATAGTTATAATCATTATTATAACAATTGTAATGATAATAATAATTACTAATTACATAATGAAGAGAAGAGAAAAGAAAGAACAAGAGAAAAACGACAATATTCAAAATAACACAATCAAATATCAAATTTATATCATTTTGAGATGGAATATTAACAAATAAGAAAGAAATAGAACTTCAAGAAGGAGAAGAAACACGAGAATTAATTTGTATTGGAAATGATAAAAAAGAGAAGATGAAGATACAAATAAGTAGTAAAGAAGAAAATGAGAAATATCCAATTACAATAAACCAAATGTCATTACAATTGAAGGAGGATATGCATGTGAATTTGAAGTATTCATTACAATCAAATGTACAACTAAAATCGAAGATAAAATAATGATAATTAGTAAAACACTTAATAAAGCACAAGAAGAAACAATCAAAAGTATTTCTATTGAAGGAGAAACAGAAATATCAACACGACTTGATCCAGATGAAATAAAAGAAGAAAAGAAAATAGGAGAAGGACCATTTGGAGTTGTTTATGTTGGAGAATTTAGAAGAAATAAAGTAGCAATTAAGAAAATGAAACAAGTTGAAGAAAGTGAAGATAAAAAGAAAGAATTTGAGAAAGAAGTAGCAATATTAGATAAATTTCGAGATGAATATATCATTCAATTTTATGGAACAGTATTTATTCCTAATAAAATATGTATGATAACAGATTTTGTAGAATATGGATCAATACAAGATATAATGAATAAAAGAAACATCACAGAAATATCAAAGAAAATAAGAATCAAATTTATGATAGATGGAGCAAAAGGAATTTCATATCTTCATTCAAATGGAATATTACATCGAGATATTAAACCCGATAATTTCCTTGTTGTATCACTTGATGATAACATTGAAGTTAATTGTAAATTAACGGATTTTGGAAGTGCAAGAAACATCAATATGATGATGACAAATATGACATTCACAAAAGGTGTAGGAACACCAAAATACATGGCACCAGAAGTATTAAATCATCAACATTACAAAATGCAATCAGATATATCTATATTCATTTTCAATAATAATATTACAATTCATTACTTATTTCTTCTTTCATTATAAGTTATGTTTTTAATTTATTTTATTATCTTTTAGAAGATCTTTTCATGAATTATTCTATTTGCTTATCACTCATTTTATTGTTTTATTAATTCAAGACACTGTTCATTGTATTTCTTTCGATTATTACTTGGCTCTTATTTGTAAGTTCATTGGTGATATAATTAATCACTTTCATTCCAATTTCTCTGATTTCTTTTGAGTTGATACTTTTCTTTTCTTTGTTATGATAAATCATTGAGTTTGGTCCAACTCCATTCACACTTTCATTCTCCACTTTAACATAAATCCCTTCATTAAACAATAAATCTTCAAGTAAGTGCATTGTTTCCATTCTTCTTCTTGACCTTTCTCTCCTTTTGATTGTTTTGACAATCGCCTTCTTCTTTTTATTCATTTCAAAATATTCTTTTCCTCGTTGTTTGATGAATTTAAATATATCCAAACTTTCTCCATTTCTTTCAATTCGTTTAATTCTGATGAATGGAATAGTCATCACCGATTTTCTACTTGGTCTGGTGATAATAATTGAATAATAATTTGAAAGAAAATAAATGATTGCTCCTTCCAATAGAGATTCATTGTTCAATGTCTTGACGTGTGTCAAATACGTTTTGTTTATTTTCTTTGTCATTTCTATTTGTGTCGTGATTTTATTTTTCTGTCGATCTTAAAATTATTTTAGAATATTTCTTCCTATTTTGTACCTCATTTTCTACTCTTTTTATTTCGTATTAATTTTCTGTTCTTCCCAATGACGAATGTATTTCTCATTTATTCTTATTCGCAATTTTCTTCTGATCTCATCCATCTCTTGACATTTATCACCTCATTTTACTTACCCTCTTTTCTATTTCTTTATTATCATTTATTTCTTATCTTTATATTAATTTCTTCTTCATTTATACTGAATTAAGTATTTAATTCTTTATTGTGTCTTCATTGTTTTATAAATAATTATCATTCATTTATTATTTTATATTTTTTGTTGTATTGTTTTCTATTCGCATTTTATCTAAAACAACAATATCTTTATTGCACTTCTTGTTTCTGTTGTTCTTTATCATTCATCATTTTGTTTTTTTTTAATTATACTCCAATTTTGAATTATATTCTACAATTTGTAAATATTCAAATAAATGCCTTATATTTGTTGATTCTCTTCTTTTATTTAATTGGTTGTTGTGTTACTATCTTCATCATATAACTCGTGTTACTTCTTTTCTCCTTTACATAAAATTCTGTATTTTATGTTTTTATTCTTCCTATCATTTATTATTTAATATATCACTTTATCTGATACCTCCTATCCACACCATCAAATTTATATTGTTTGATATTTTAATGGAAAGGGAATATTAGTGATAAGTAATATGATTGAAATGGTTCATTATTTAATGTATTTTTACGTGTTGTAATATTCATTTATACATTTATTGGGTTTGTTGTGTTTATCAATTTGTTATTTGAGAGTTGTAGATGAATTAGAAAGAAAACCGAAATATTTTTCATCACAGGTTTAGTTTTAATGTTAAAAATAACACTAACAATGATTAAGTTAAAGTAGTTTTAAATAATATTTGAGTTTTATAAAAAGAAGAATTATTTTATGATACTTTTATTCAACCATTATTATAGAATAATAATAATATGACTTTTGAAGTTTTAAAATGCATTCTAATAAGAAGAAAAACAAATAAAATGTGTGATTGGAAACTAAGTATGATTATATTGCATAACTGGAAATGATAAAAGTTAAATAAAAGATGTTTAAAAAGATGTTTTAAAGAAACAAAGAAATAAATATGAAATTAAAATACAGAGATAATAAATTGTTTATGGTAAATATCAAACAAGAAGATTTGTATATTTTTATTTTCCATTTTATTATATTAATATAATAATATTTTGTTAATTCATAAATTTGAATATCAATATTGCTGAAGTGTTCTAAATGAGTTTTTAAATAATAATAGTACTAAAAATAAAGATAATAAAAACTGAATAAAAAAATAACAATTTAATATAATGAAAATAAAGATATTACTTACAATATTTAATTTAAAAATTACATTTTGAGATGTTAAAATTATGTTATTTAATTATTTTGAATGGTGATACTTTTTATTAGTTCACTGTAAGTAATTTATTCCCACGAATTAATTTAGTAA